AAATAAAAATACCGTAGATAACCGATGACTCATGCGGCATGGTAATAATAGTTACATAAAGTTATATATACATACAACAAACACAATGTGTAAATAATTGATCACTTACGTAATATTTAATGCAGATATTAAAGTCGATTGTTCTTAACATATAAATACTTAACATATTTTGATAATATCCGATAGATAACGACTTCGGAAAAAAACATGCGACTGTTAATTTCCATAATACAATTTAATTTCTAACATGTAAATTTTTTTTATGCATCGCTGATTGTTTACTATTGTATCGCCTGTTGTGCAATTCTCCTTATTTCAAGATCACCTTTGTACTTTCCATCGCTTTCTTCACAAATATATCAAGTTTCACGTTCTTTTAACGTGATTTATCTTGTGTTGATAGCGTGATCGTATATATCATTTTTGTAAGATATTATGTTGTAAAACTCACCAAATATTTTACCAACAGAGCGTATAATCTATTATTACGTGACTTTACTAAAATAAGCTTATTCACATATTTATCTCATCAACAGAACGAAGCAAAAGATATGTTATAAATATAATAAATTTTTAATCTTTTTTTCGCAATAAATTATTTGCAGTTCTATTATATACAAAAAAACCTAGTAAAATATAAATATTACCATGAAATAGAACCATGAAAAAGTCAATATTACACAAAAACATAAGTAACCTAGATTTTTTGTTAAATAATAAAATATCTTAGATAAATATCAAGATATTTGACATGCGCACCCATCTACCCACACACACACACACACACACACATACACGCGCGCGCGCGCGCGCACCACACAACAGTTATATGGTAAAAAAAAAATTTGGCTTATATAAATTATTGATTGTTGTGCGTCATTATTCTGTGAATCGAAAAAGAAATAACGTTTGGTAATTTTTATTAAATATACCTAAATACAATATACAAAATTTTTCATATATTCATTTTCAGCAGTTTAATTTACAATTTCATGAAACTTGTCAAATGACTTTTTTATTCCTATTCGCATTACTATTCATGCATGCAGTAAACCCGTGATCCAATCTTACGATCCCCAGTCATACGATCCTAATTAAGCAATTCGAATGCTGCTATAAGCGTGTCAATTATGACCAGTATAGTTCCAGAACAAGATATCACATATACATTTATTCCTGCCAAAATTTATAAAATTATCACATCATTCAGCCTAAATATATTTATGATATTTTTACAGTGTAAATTTTGATATAAAAAATTATAATATGAATTTGGACAATCAAGAAGATAAATCTAATTAAACAAGAGAAATCCTGAATTCGGTCAAAGCAGATCTTAGTGCTTAAATATTTCTGTGTGAATTTATATACATATTTGATTCGGCAAATGCGCATCGAAATCTTTTTCGATCTTAAAACGCAACTATGAATAGCAGTAGAATAGTAATGTTACTGCTCTTACTAAATTAACGAGTAATTTTTATGCTAATAAAATCATTTAAATGTTAACGAGTACTCTAAATAATTCAATATTTTGATAAGAATATTTTGAAATCAAAATATTCTCAATCGAAATTTGTATCCGAATTCCGATTGAGATTTATTTTTTGGAATAAATTATTTATAGATTCTTGTCGATCGAAATTCATATCATAATCGTGTAAAAAAAATTTTAAGAAAAAAATCGCTGTATGTTTCAAGTCTATAACTTCTATAACTTCATTAAAAATAAATAAAATCAAAACAGGATTTTAAAGATAAAAATCTCTACTTTCAGAAGATTATAATTTTTTTAGTGTCTATGAGTTTAATCATTTTTACACACAGAAAACTATGATTTTCTTTATTTGAATTTTTGGTTAAGTACCTGTTGTAAACAATTTAATCTTAATGTTCTAATTGTAAGGTACTCCAAGAAAAGATTGAGAATTGACAGACTTGAGAGTTTTTCTTTATCATATATAAATACACACACATATAAATGTATATTAATCCTCAATATTTCTATTTAAGTATCTTAGACATTTTAAATTTCCAGAAAAATTGAAATATCTAATATTTTAATTAGATTATGTAACTATACCTTTTTATTTTGTCCCCAATCGTCAGAAATATATGTCAATAGATCTGTCAAACCCTCAAACTCTGTTCTGCTTTGAGGTGGGTCATTTTTAGGTATTTTTGGTAGTAGAGAGCCCATCTTGAATCTAAATTCCTCTGCATTAGTAGCTCCAGAGAGTTTCCAGATTCCATAAAAAAATAAACTACATCCTGTGATAGCATATAATGTACCCCAGCCAAGGGCTCTTATAGCTAATGAGGCTCCAGTTTCAGGAATTCCTTTCATACCAGAAATTCCATCTCCAAAATGTTTTGGATCTTGCTTTCTGGTTGCCGCTACTGTCCTGGCAAATCCAGCGAGGGCAGAAATACTTGCAACAGTGCTTAAAAATACTGTAGCTATAAAAATAGCAATAAGATATTTATTAAAAGAAGTTGCACAAATATTAACAGAAAAAGAAATTTGATTATCAATTAAAAATAAAATTATCATGATAGAACTGCAGTGCGACAATTATCAGATAAAAAGATTAAAATATTAACGTCATATCTTAAATAAATCGATTCAACAAAGAATATATACATAAACAACAAGAATATATATTGTATTATTTAAAACATCTAAAATCTGACCGTTTATTGGCGTTCTCTTATCATATTTGTTTTTAAAATATTAATTTTGGACAGTCATGAAAAGCATCATTCACAATTAAAATATTTTATTTTTCATGAATTGATTTCTAAAAATTTTTTGTTTATATCTATCAAATGTATTATGCTGTGCAAAGATTAATGCAATTTAGCAAAACAAAGTTAAGCCGACTAATTGATTTCCATAAACAATTGAAAAATATTGTAACTTCTTATTATATATTGATAGCATATGTCAAGCAGCAAAGCATTGTTGTAATTTTCTTTTTTTAATTTATTATCAGGACAAATGATAAGAGCCAGAGCATGGTCACACTCGTAAAAGTGAGGTTAATTTGCAGCAAGCAACTTATACGCAAGCAAATATTCCTTTCTTAAATAAAATGTACCATAAATTTTCTCCTTTAATTTTTCAGACTTCGTTGCGGACGTTTCTACAGTATCATTCGATTTCGCCATCACGTTACACTTATAGAAGAAATCAATTGTTAGGGTTTGCCATTTTTAAAGCCCACTCGTAATCTCGATTGGCGGTAACATGAAAAAGATGCTTACGATTGACTATATAACTATAGACTGCTAGTTGGCTTTCTCACGCCATACCAACATAAAAAGTGCCCCCGCCAATGAAATGGCGAATCTCGGTACTTCGATGATACATCGTTAATTCACGTACAGTACAAATCTAAGTTTACCAGTTCAATGCTTGATATATATTTCAATTTCATAAATTAAAGAAAAGAAGTTACTACCTGGGTTTAGACGAAATCGTCGTCATTTCGATGGCGAGTGCCATATAAAATTAGAAGAAGATCAAAGAAAAAGAAAGAAATTAATAATAACATTTTACTTCGAAATAAAATTATTTTATGAAGGAAAATGGATCACAATATCTAAACAAAAAAATTTTTGAAGACGCACGTTAACGAAGGCTGTAATTTTTAGCGGCCAATAATGTAACATTATTTGTATAACTATATTGAACATTACAATTACATTTATATAGCTATTAAATAATATATATATATATATATTTATTTATTAAAACTGTTAATAAATAAATAATAACTTGTTATCTATATTTTACTATTGTGTGTTAAATTTATACATACATATTTTATTTCGATTCTGCATTTTACCTAATAAAATAATGCAACATATGTCATATTCTATCTCTCTCTTTCTTTCTGTTTTATCGTAACGTGTTTCAATTTTTTTGCCATTTCACTGGCGGAGGTACGCACAATGTTTGCTATGCGAGTCTCTTTCATAGTTATATGCTTATACCTTTATATTGTCCCTAATTGCTTACAATCGATAAAGTAGTTGAAATTATGCTGAAATCAGGGGCGCGATTTGTAACTGTTTTATACGGCACATATCTACCGACAGTTGTCGAGGTTGCGCAGCTTTTTCACTATATAAAATTATCTGCAACTGTAACGACAACTGTCGGTAGGCGTGTAAAGTACTATAAAAACGATTAAGGAATCGCACCTCAGATATTTCTTGACAAGACGGATCTACTGGTCTAAAGACCCTTGCAATTCTCTGATTGTGCGCAGTCTCTTACAAATTACAATGGGCGAGTTCAAGTCGTTGATCGTTCATTGCGGTTGGACATGCTTATCGAGCGAATGAGTATGATTGGTTCTTACCAAGTGGATCCAACTGGATCCAACCAATCATGTTTAATTGCTCGGCGAGCAGACCAAGTCGCTGCTAGCCGCTTTGCCGACTTGAACTCGCCCGTTGACATTAAAGTAGAGAGAAGAATTCGATTATACATTTATACATTAAAATAAAGATTTCCGAATCTTCTTTTTTTTTGGTATTTGGTTCAAAGATCGTGAGGGAGGTACGTTATTTTTGGGTGCGAGTCCTGCGGAATCTGCGGCGTGGATACCAGCGGATGTTTGCTTGATAAAAATGGAAGGTAAATCGCTGTCATATTCCACTCCATCCCTTTTCTCGTCAGGCTATTTTTGGAAAGGCAATACAGTAAATCTTTCAATGTACATTACAGGCGAGACGAAGCACAATATCGACAAACTCGTCGACGATTTGAAATGTGTCGTGAGACTCGAAGCCTCGCAAGAGGAATGCCCCAATATTGTTCAGATACTGGATTCTGTAGTAAATGTTAGCAAAACGTCGATCGGAGGTATAGCTGGATGATTCAACTAGACTAAACGCTGTAACTGGGTGTCAGTATCATATGGTGCGAAATTGTTATTGAATACTAACGGATGATTTCAGAGACTACTGAGTTAGTCATTGACGAAGTTTTCCTAACGCTACTTAGGCACAAATCTAAACAAATCATAGCAAAGACTGCAAAAGCTATTGCGGAAATAGCAAAGACTGATCGAGGGAGAGAGAAATGTACCAGTTTTGAATTGATACGGACCTTGATTGATTTGCTAAAGGAAGAAGATGTAGACATATTGACACAGACTTCCAGAGCTCTAGGAAACATCTGCTATGAGAATGGTTGTTGTAGTAGTTTTACATTTACATGATAGAATTTTTATTACATATTTATGTATAGTTTCGAAATAATGGTTCATAAGATTTTAAAGCTTTGATATTTAAAGGAATATTTTTATATCAAGTATTTAGAAATGATATTTAAAGGGATATTTACATATTAGGTGTTTATAAATGTACGTAAGTTTCATATTAATAAAAAAGTTAATAATAAACATTTATGTTACAGAGACTGGTAAAAATCTGGTGGCAGAACAGGATGGTTTGAAAGTAATTCTAGCACTACTGAAGAAAGGAATTGCCCTAGGTAATGTTGAAGGTGCGAGCTTCTTGAGGAATGTGTCTGCTGGAGTTTTATTGAATTTTTTGGTGGATCAGGAAATGTTATACAGAAAGGTAAATTTTTTGAAAATATATTTGTACATTGTAATTGACAATCAATGGTGATATTGCAAAATAGAAAGTAACAGCAAGCGATAATTTTATTGTAAGATATACTTTACCAGGCACTAGAGGAGGATATGGTACCAATTATTTGCAGTATTTTAGAAGAAGATGGAATAAATGGTGATGAATCAGCAGTACAAGTGTTACTCACTCTTGGCATATTGAACGACGTGAATATTATATTTCTCAATGAGAGATTGACAAGAGTTTTGGTTGATATACTGGCTAGTGACACTTCCTCTGAGCTATCTGAGATGTGTTTAGAAATTTTACATGGCCAAGCAGAAGATGGTAAAACAGTAATTTTATAATTGAAATTAAATTAATTTAAATTGCTTAAATTAAATTAATTGGAATTATGCTGATTGAATATTTCAGTATAATTAGTCTTAGTAAAGTAAATTCACAAAATTGGATTCAAGTTCAAAATTGAATTAAGTTGAAGAGTAATAGCTTAATAATATAATTCCATTAGAAAATGCGAAGCTGTTATTGGCTAAGGCAGGAGTGTGTGAGTTGCTCCTGAAACTGTTAGAGAAACATGGTCCACAATGCACTGACGAAGAAACGCGGTCGATTCTTAAAGTCGCCTGTAACTTGATTGTTTTGATTTTAACTGGAGGTGAGTTCTAGGGGAAAATTCAAATGCAAGTTTTAATGATTCTAACAAACATACTCTGTACTTAGATGATAGCATGAATTTCCTTTACGATGATGGCAAGGGTCCTGTATACAAGAAATTGATAGAATGGCTAGAGAGTATTGACGAGGATTTGCAGATCACCGCCGTTTTGGCCATGGGCAACGTTGCGCGGACTGACATACATTGCAAGCGCATGGTGGAACAGGGTATTCATCGGAAGTTGTTAAAAATTCTCGAAAGAAATGGCAACAAATCTGGCGATATTAGATGTCAGCACGCCTTACTCAGCGCATTACGCAACCTCGTTATACCTGCGGACAATAAATCGTTAATTCTTGCCGATGGTTTGATCGATGTACTGTATCCAATGCTGGAGATTCCTACCTATCCTGTCGTTTTCAAATTGCTGGGAACGCTTAGGATAGTCATAGACGGTCAAAGTAAGAGGTCGTAAGCTTTTTTTAAAAATTAAAGCAGTATTTATTATATTCATAATGAATAATATGATAATTAAGATAGAGTTTCTTGTTTTAGAAGAAGCAGCAATTTATTTAGGACGAAGAGAGGACTTGATTAAACGGGTAGTTGAGTGGTGCAGTACTGAGGATCACCCTGGTGTCCAGGGTGAAGCCAACCGATTAATCGCCTGGCTAATAAATAATAGCAGGTTCGTTTTCTATGGCTTAGTGATACGAAGTTCCTAAACCTAGTTCCAATACTTTATATACAATTTTTAGGGACAAGCAGGTTGCTTTGTCAATTATCAAGTACGGTGCGGTGCAGCATCTAGTAGGTATGCTTTTAGCGCAACACACGCTAATGCAAAACGAAGCAATTATGGGTCTTAATTTACTGACTGTAATTTGTCCGACGGAATCTGAAGAGCTACTGATCAAAGCAGATTTCGGACGCAATATGTGCGAATTGTTTGCACGTTCCCGTGAGCTTGACGTACACATCATGCTAAACGCGTTATCGTTATTGAATCGCGCCCTGGAATTAGGTATCCCAAAGATCTATCCAGAAAAGAAAGAATTATTTAATCGACCGACAATTTTACATGCCGTCTGTTTTAGACCAACTGAAGGAGCATCTTACGAGCTACGGATTAGCTAATGCATGCAAATTGCAATGCCATATAAATGAAAACACCGTCACGGAGTTACAGACTCGAGTTACCAATTCGTGAGCGGCGCTGGGCACCGCCTTGGAAACTAACTAAGGATAATAATGATGATGATGATGATGACAATGACCAATTCCAAAACGCGTTCTTATGCGCTGCCATTCCCTACATTGTTGTATCTTCCATCATTCCAAAGAACCAAGAAATGCAATCTTCAATGACCAAACCGTTCCCAACTTGAGCCACAGATTGCAAAACATATTTTATTTATCGAGAAATATATATTCTATTGATGTACATATTCTATTAATGCTATTGCAATTGATTTTCCTATTATAAGATCTTCGTGAAAACGAAAATTGAGCAATTAGTGACTTGAATATTCACTTCAGGACGCATGTTATATTTTTTTATGGATTGTCCATAGCGTTATTATTTAAAAACACTGTTGATGCAATTGCTCAATGATTGTTCGCACAAAAAGTAATGAGAATCGATCAAACTCCGATTCTCTCATTTAGTGATTAACTTATCACACAATACATATTTTATTAACAAAAGTTGTTTTTTAACGTATTAAAAAAAAAAAAAAAAGATTAGATCAGAGATAATAAATTGATTAGAATTTGTTTTTTGAATAATTCTAGTGATTGAATTAATCGCCGAATAAATTAAAATATAATTAAAATCACTAATTAGAGAATCAGTAATTTAAATCAAATGGCAAAATTGCTCGAAGCAAAATTTGTCTGATTTTATAATTGTGAAATAAATAAAATAATTTTCTATTAACTAATGATAATTGTCTATTAGAAAAATAGGTATAGATGGGTTTTTAACAAGTTGATCGCCGATTAGCTAATTAGAATTTGTCGCTCTGTGCAAAAGCAACGTCAACATCATCAACCCTGACCGGACTTCGCAAATCGCAATGCCATCTGGTCAATCTGGTCACGTCACGTGCCACAGTTCATGGCGCAGCGGTCGCGCGAGCTGCCACGTAATGTTGTGTGTGCCGTTCGTTCGTTCATGAATCGCTGCTATTAGGATTCATCTTGTGGTGCTGCGTGGAGGCGAACGGCAACGAGGGCGATGCACGAGCCTGCGTCTATCCGTTTCTAATTTTTGGCTACACATTAGTACGAAGGTAGGCAGGTCCTTCGAACGTTTCAAGTCCGTCCTCTGCATTTTAACCTTTCAACACGCTGACAATGCGCTTTGGCTATCCAAACGTCAACCTACTGATCTATATATCTCTTCTTGTAGATTATTAAGATGGAAATTTCTCTGCAACGAAATTTCATCCTCTCGTACCGATCTGTCTAATCTTTAACAATCTTTTACAACATCTTGCAGCTTCTGTGTATCTTTAGCTGAGCTTGGATCTGAGATTGGGAATTGTTACTTAGATCTGTAATTTGGTAGTACTGTATGATTCTTGTTGTTGCTGGGGATAAATGCAGTTAACTGAATTTTTTTTTTTTGTGACGTTTGAATTAGAAATTAAATTGAAAATTTAAAGTAGTTGACTTACACTGTGTTGCTGTTGTATATCTCACATCTTGGATACTAACATTGATGTATTAACATTGATTAATTTATAATTTTTTATATTATAATATAGAAATTTATGTCTTTAAAAGCATGTTATTTAACTAAATAAAAAAGTTCCTCAATAATGTATTTCGTTTCAGTGAATTGTTAAAGCAACAAAATGTCACAGTCAAGCGGTTACCAGTATCCATTGTACACAGATTCTAACAATCCTTTGAAAAATGAACCACCTCCTATAGTAAATGGTCAAAATCCTGCATCTCAGCAAAATGGAATGCAGTCTCCTCAGTTCAATCTAACTGGCAAGTTTTTGGAATATACAATGAAGAAATTTTATTTTCTAAGAAAATATATTATTATAATTTTTCTTTTACACAATGCTTTTTTATTGACAATGGTTAAATTTTATTGACAATTCTTAAAGGTGGTAGCATTGCTCTTGAAAATGAACAATGTGAAAATATATGATCAATCTTGTTATCTTTTAATCTTTTAATTTTATTTCTAAAAATAAAATGGATAATAGTTAATAAGAAAAGCATTTTGTAAACTTTATACTTTAACATAAAGTGATTTGTCTTAACATTTAATTAGTTTCGTCTAAAAAGTTTGCTTGAAACACAATTCAAATGTTTTTATAGGTACACCATCATCACAGTCGTCGCGTGATCCATCCAGGGAGACTTCTAGAGATCCATCACCAACTCAATATCTTCACAACCAATATCGGCCTCAGTTGCCACGACCGCCAATGTCACCAATAAATAGACGTCGGAACGCTAATGTGTTGCCTCCGCCACCTAGAACATCACAACCTTATAGTCCTGCAAATCTCTATAATGCTCACAGCCAGAATGTTGCTAGCACTCACGAGAACATTGCAGTCGGTACATCTTCAATCGCCTTTGTGTCTCAACCTAGCCAAGAAATTCAACATCGACCCATGATTCCTTCAAATCAGATGCCTCCAATAGCAAAAAATTTGACTCCAGTGTCTGCACCATCAACGTTTGCGGATACTATTAAACCAGAGCCAGCTAAAATGAACCAAAGCTATCAATGGGCAACTAATCCCCCACCTACTAACATTCCGCAGGGTACTATAGGCGTTCCTGGTGTATCCAGTAGCATTGATAAGACTAGTCATGTCTCAACGGATCAAACTACGGAAAGTCAAACATCCTTTGCTAGAGTAAATAAGATTTCGGCATACAATCAAGGACATTCTATCCCTCCACCCGCATCCAATGTTAATCTACCTCCTTCGAACGTCACTCATTTAAATCAAAACAGTTATGTACAGCAAGAACCAGTGAGTTCTGGTATACAACCACCAAGGACTCAAAACATTCAAGCACAATCAACGATTAGTCCTGAAAGCTTAAGTAATCCACAACTCAGATATGGAAGTCAACAGAATATATCCAATGCATCGTCAATGCCAAATTCAAGCACGCAAAATTTATTCTATAATGCACAAGCCCATAATGTAGGCCCACGAAATCTTCATGATTATAGTTCTCAACCTATGAAATCTCAAAATTTACTTACTGGTTATATGGATCCTACGGGATTGGGAAGTAATTGTCAAGGTCAGAATATACATCAAAATTTAGCTGGTCAGAGGAAATATCCGCAACAAGACACTGCCAATACCATGATGCTACCGCCTTCAGGAGGTAATCAGTTACAAGGTGCAAGATTACCTCCATCAGGAATACCTCCTCTTCCAGGACTGCAGACGGTAATAGAATCTAAGAATAAAATGTTTATGCAATAGAATCAAATTTAATTAATCTTTTATATTTTCTTCATAAAGTAATATATTTTTGCAACATTAATATACAGAGTTTAATTTTTGTTATTTTTAGTATGACTCTCGGTCGCAATATCCTAGCCCAATGACAAACGTACCATTAGACTCGTCTAATAGAAGGTATCCCAATATGTACCCAGACCAATTAAATCAATTAAATAATCAGATGAGCAATTTGAACGTCACACAAGTTGGCTACAACAAAATATGGGTAATTATTTTTATTGAAAGTATGTATTAAAATATGTATTTTTATTGAAATATATACAATTATATACTTATAATACATTCTTTAATATATTAATATAATTTTTAGGGGATGGAATCGATAGATCTCTTGCAATGCCGAAATATACTGCCACCTGAAAAAGTCGAACCACCAAAGATCAAGTTAAATCAGGAATTCCTGGATTCCGTAAATTGTAATCCTGAGTAAGTTTTTTTTTATTTAAGATGTTAAATTACATTTCTATTGTATGGAAATTAAAATAAATAAAAACACGAACTAAAGATTTGAAAAATTTAAAACCATTGTTATTAAAACTATTTCAATATATAAATATAACTCTTATTAAAAGTATGTATGTGAAATGCTTACAGCATATTCAGGTGTACATTAACAAAAGTCCCAGAATCGAATTCGCTTCTACAGAAATCAAGATTACCATTCGGCGTACTAATACATCCTTTTAAGGATTTAAACGTAAGTAATGTACATGTAAAATAATGTTTATAATTTAAAATATACAACATATAGACAGAAGAACATGCTATTTCACTTTTTAGAAAGTCATGTAGAAATAAACTTTAGTAAAATTGTTATTATTTGTCGCAGCAGCATTTAGCAGTGATTCAATGCAATACGATCGTGCGTTGTCGAGCTTGCCGAACATATATCAACCCGTTTGTGTACTTCGTCGATTCGAAAAGATGGAAATGCAATCTCTGTTTCAGATTAAATGAACGTAATGAACATACTAAAATTTTTCATATCTTTATCATATAATTGCTTATATGTAATATCACATAACAAGAATTAGATATATAATTTACGTTTTGTGTAGTTCCCGAAGAATTTCAATTCGATCCTGTGACAAAATCGTACGGCGATCCATCACGACGGCCGGAAGTGAAAACCGGCACGATAGAGTTTATTGCGCCAAGCGAGTACATGGTTAATATTTGTTTACTGTAAAATAATCACCTATTCGTAATTACAAGTTATTTATTTACGTAATTAAAAATTATATACCTGTTTATGATACTTTGAGGGATTTAGTATTAACATACTGTGAATTATAGGTCCGTCCACCTCAGCCCGCTATCTATCTCTTTGTCATGGACGTTTCTCGTCTTGCGGTAGAAAGTGGGTATTTGCAGATAGTTTGCAATACGATCACCGATGAACTGTCGCGTCTCCCTGGCGACAGCCGCACTCAAATCGGTTTTCTTGCTGTTGATTCTACTCTGCACTTCTTCAGCATGCCCGATAACGTCTCGCAACCACATGAAATGGTCATGCTAGATATCGACGATGTGTTTCTACCGTGTCCAGAAAACCTAATTGTAAATCTGAAAGAACGTGAGGAGCTTGTTCGTGATCTTCTCGCCCAGCTTCCTATCAAATTCTGTGGCACTCATGATACTAATAGCGCTCTTGGTGCTGGTCTTCAAGCTGCCTACAAACTCCTCGCTGGTGTTGGAGGACGTATCACCGTTTTTCAAACGTGTTTGCCTAATATTGGTCCAGGGGCCTTGCAACCGAGAGAAGATCCCAGTACTAGAGTGAACAAAGACGTGCCACATCTTAATCCCGCAACAGATTTCTATAAAAGATACGCTCTGGATTGCAGTGGACACCACATTGCAATTGATCTATTCTTATTGAATAGTCAATACAGCGATCTGGCAACTTTATGTAAGTGAATCCATCTCGATTGCATATGATTATAATAATTTTGTATTGTAAATTTGCAAATAATTAATTTGATAATTGTAATTTTTTTCGTAATATACCTAATTATATATATTTTTTTAACATTGATAAATATCTCTTTTAACATTCGATGTTTTATTTATTTCACAGCATGCATGTCAAAATTTACGGGTGGTTGCATTTACCATCTGCCACTGTTCCGAGCATCGAAGTTACAGAATAGTGAAACTTTAGAAAGATTACTTCGTCGTTATTTGACGAGAAAGATTGGCTTTGAAGCGGTGATGCGGCTTCGTTGTACTCGTGGTCTCAGTATTCATGCCTTCCATGGCAGCTTCTTCGTTCGATCGACTGATCTCCTCTGCTTGCCAAATATTAATCCGGACGCCGGTTTCGGCATGCAAATCTCCATCGATGAAAATCTTTCCGATGTGCAGAGTGTATGCTTCCAAGCGTCTCTTCTGTATACTTCAAGCAAAGGTAATTAGTCTTGTCTTTTTTAGTGTCTTCATTGTAATGTTTCATATTTTTTATATTTTTCTAAAGGTGAGCGAAGAATTAGAGTACACACTCTATGCCTGCCTGTGGTGGCAAGTCTATCGGATGTATTGCATTCTGCAGATCAACAATGCATAGTCGGTTTATTATCAAAAATGGGTAAGTAAAATTCGTTGCTGTAAACTATAAATCCTTATGTAGCGTAATGTAAAAGTTTAATAATTATTTGTTAACTCTCCCATAATTAATTAATATTAAGAGACATTTCTTTAAATATCTCTATAGCTGTTGATCGATCGCTTCAGTCATCTTTATCAGATGCAAGAGAAGCATTAATAAACGTCGCTATTGACATCTTATCCGCGTACAAATTAGCACAATCTTCGAGCGGAGGAGGACTTATTGCTCCAGGAAGTTTAAAGCTGTTGCCATTATACATTATCGCATTGTTGAAAAGCGTAAATTATCAATAAATTTACACACATTTTCTACTTAAATATATTGTAGATATCGTCATTAAAATATTTTTATTTCGAATTTGCAGATAGCATTTAGATCCGGCACGAGCACGCGTTTGGATGATCGCATATTCGCTATGTTTCAATTAAAGACATTACCGTTAGCACAACTGATACAGGTGGTTTATCCTGATTTGTATCCCGTTCTCATGCTTGATGACCGCAATGCAAGGGACATTGACGGCAAAGTGTGTCCACAACCGCCTCGACTTAATTTATCTGCTGAGAAATTCGACAGCCGGGGCATCTTTCTTATGGATGCTGGCGATAGAATCTTTATTTATATTGGCAAGAATATCAATCCAATTTTCTGTACAAATATATTCGGCACTTCGGGATTTACATCTATTCCAGAGGAAATGGTAAATGTTTTATTACTTTTTCTCAGATATATATCCAAAGCTAAAAATCGAACTCTTATCGGATAACAATTTTTAATAACAGCCGCTGTAATAAAAATTTAATTTCACAATTACTCTTAATTTTGTCTTGCAGTACGAATTACCGGAATTGGATACAGTAGAAAGCGAACGGTTGCGAAACTTTGTATTTAGTTTACAAGAGGAAAAACCATACTACGTACCTGTACAAATTATCAGGTAAGTCAAGTGTTTTGGATTAATAAAAATAAATGTGTAAGATATTGTATAAAAATAAATGTGATTAGATATATGTTGATAGAAATTATAAATTTTCTTTAACTTTCGTAATGAATTTACCTGATATTTTCAATACAATATACATATTTTAATGTGACAAATTGTTTTTCAGGGACGATAGCCATTTTAGGACGTTATTCATCGAACGATTGATAGAGGATCGATTCGAATCTGCTCTTAGTTACTACGAGTTCTTACAACATCTCAAGACGCAGGTGAAGGAGTGACCAAGTTAAGGAATTTGTGCATGAGACCAACTCCTGCCGAAGTGTTAATCATCGGGTGATGGAATCATCGTAAAACAATCGCACAATTAAAAAATTGTGCGATCCGTTATAATTCATTAATTGATCATGGGTCATTCGGGATATTTTGGGACATGTCGCGTGATTCAAGATCTACTTATGCAGCAGTGACAGCCTTAATGAAAGACACTGACACATTTAAATAATATGATAGATTGTATAATTATTGTTATTATTATATTATATTATTGGTTATTTACCATCGGTAGCTTCATCATATAGACTTGCGTTTTTGTTGCGCGTATTCACTTGGGTTAAGCAATTTCTTCAACTCGTCCAGTAAATAATATGTAATTTTTTATTATTTTGTGTTATATCTACAACAGTTTTAATCTATGAGATTTATTTGTTCAGTAGGAAAATCTTTTTCACAATAGCAGTAATTCATTGAATAGCATCAGCATGACGATCATAGTCGATTTCCTCTATTCTAGAATCATGGGATCGAGCTTTTCTTTTATTCTAAGATATTAGTAGAAATGCCAATGTCCGCTGTATTTTACTTGCTTTCTTATCTACTCGCGATTATGTGGTAAATGCAAAAGCGAGAGAGAGAGAGAAAGAGAGAGAGAGAGAGAGAGAGAGAGAGCGCAGTGAAAAAAGAATCTTATGTTAGAGGAAAACAGTTGACTTGAAGTAGAAGAAATCGACTATTTTTTGATGAAGTTTGTATAGAATATTTTTTTTTAATTATGTTTCTGCATTCTTTCAATTTCTATGTCGAAATATCGCAATACGCAAGTGTTCTTACCTTAAAAAAAAATACCATCTTCAGAAAATCTTGAAAAATATTAGTTACGAGTAATTATATGCAATAGAAATGGAATTAAATAAGTGCAATTTTGCATTTGCAGTATAAGTAATATAATAAATGAAGATGCTTGCAGGCTGAGTGTCGCCAAACGAAGATGTGGTGATAAGTAATACGCTCCTGTAATTTAATCACCTGCAGGCAATAAAACATACGAAGAGGGAATAGTAACAAAACTCGTGAAAAAATTATATTGTCAGTCACTATGTCATTCCTTAGACGATGACATATTGTTAATTAAACATTGTAAAATTAAACTTTGCAGTGAGTAAAAGCGTAATAAATAATTTCGAACAGTCGACGAACATTGCAATTAAAATATCGTTTGAATTGCAATTGAATTAAGTAATTGTAAAAAAAAAAATATAGGAAAGGACAGAATGATTTCGCGCTAATGTAAAATATGAATCGATCGTTCGAGGCGTATAAACTCGCCTATAAAGGACTCTATAACAAAATAAAATAAATAATGGTAAATAATAGCACTAGCAAGTGTTAAGAAATAAACAAATGAATATTGTAAAATAATCGTACTACTCGTACTTTGTCATGCTGCCAAACGAATTTCTCCGGCGTAGTTCTTTTCTCACCATTTTACGATCCGCCGAAGTTAAAAGTAGCGTGTGACTTAGTTTATTATTTAATAATTATATATATGTGCATATATATATATATATAATTATACGGGAAGTAAATTGTACATTCGTTGTTATTTTCTTTACCATCCCCTACCCGTGTATACCGTTCGATTTTTTATAAATTATTAACTGTGTATTACAAGAATGCCTCGAACTCTTTAGTCCGCCATCCTTTTCGGATTATCAAAGTTTCCCTGATCTATGATCCTGAAACAATTACTGTTTTATTTTAATCTTATATACATACAATATAATATATTTAATATATATACAATATAAATATATGTAATATTATATATATAATCTTTTATATATATATAATGTGTGTGTATATATTTCATTGAGTATATATGTATAGAAAGTATTGGGTATTATAATGCAAATCCGTATCATTATGTAGATAACATCGACGTATCATAACTACCCCTACCCCGAATGGGCGATGTCGGCGTCGGCGTCGTTGCCGACGTCGACGTCGACGTTGACGTTGGAGGCGACGGCGTCGGCGCTGGGCGTTCGGCGCTCCGGAGGCGTCGGCCGCTTGACTGTGTTATCAGTAGTGGTGCCGTCGTCCGCGTGAGCAGGTGAAGGCCTTCGTCATAATAACTGCTCGACGACCTGGTAAGCCTTGTTTTGACTGGATCCCCTCCCCTTTTTTTCAAGTCCCGCATCGACCGGGCGGACGGCGCGAGATCCGCACCGCGATTTTTCCATCCCTTCTTCGTATATCCTCCACGGGTCGCGGCAGCCTCTCTCTTTCTTTCTCTCTCTTTCGTTGACGGTCAATCGTGGCTGATAAAACGTAGAATGGAATTTTCATCGAGATTCAAATAGAATAGTCAGTAGTAGGGGAAAAAGGAAAGGGAAGAGAAAAATAGACTTTGGATGCGTGACGTCTTGTGTTTAATAAATTCGTATTTCGGGGAATGCTATTGTATTCCCGATTTAACGTGCGTCGCTTGCTGATAAACTCGAAAACGATTCGTTTTATCGGCTGGAGTACATCCGAGTACATTTCTCGTTTACGATCCTGATTGCACAGCAGACGTAAATTAATTCAGCGAAAGATGGAGGCAATCACTGTGCATGCGAAGTGGTCCAAACGATAAGAGACGCAAATGTTCGCAAATTATTGAAAGGCTTAAATATATTCGTTTACACCTTTTATGAACCTTTTACCGAATTCTTTTTGCATTAAATGATTTTTCAGTCGATTTTTCAGAGTTTAAAATTAGATACTTCTTTAAAAAAAAAATTTAATTACGAATCAGTGGCATTTGCCGAGAAATTCTATACCACGGTTCAAGTATCCAATGTAAAACTTTGTAAACAAATACCGGACAGCTTGAGCGTTGGCGGAAGGTTAATTGGTTGGCTCCGAGTAAGACTATATTTAACAACAATCATCCAGGAGATGGGTATTATTCTATTCTTATCTTATCGTAGCCTCCCGCGGACACTTTCCCCTCTATTTTCGTAATAACAATATCAATCCCCACGGTCGTTTTCAGTTCAATTAGCACCCCTGTGCAATCCCCGGGTCGCTATTGCTTCATGGGTATTGAAATCTTTTTCCGAAACCCTCAGGGCATTCTACGTTCCTGTAGAATTCGCGTGTTTCGGTGTCCGGTGAAATAAATGGATTTCTCTCTCGACATGCTGTTTCGCACGGCTGACCTAATGACGACGCGATAATTGTACTCGACATACTCGGCGGCGCGAAGCTTGTTTACCGTGTCCATCGTATACCCGGAACGGCAAATATTTGCGAACGTATACGCGATTCTCAACTTTCCCGCTGTACCCAGCTGGGAGATCCGCGAGGAAATTGTATAAAAAAAAAAATGCGACACGATCTTAATTTGGTATTCACTCCTAAAAGAGACGTGCATTCCAAGGAGGACAAGGAAGTAAAAAAAACATCACATTGAAATAAATAATTTTAATTATGAATTCGGTCAATAATCGCTCAATACATATGATGTGAATTGATTATTTTAATTTTTTTTTATCTTCCTTGGGATAAGCGAGAGCTTTTTTCCCCTTTTCCGAGCTGTTGGAATCCATACCCACAACAACACACTTTATCTAAGGAATGTGTTATTGTGAAAGTTCTTAGGAGCATCCTCCGGACATCTTTAGAACTTCCTTAGAGGTCTATAATGCTGTACGGGTATCACACGCTGCGATCTCTCTTTCTCGCCTCCCAGGTAGAACAGAGTCATAATTAAGTCATAATGAGTGCTTTTCATTTAGTGACACAAGTCGACACAATGATGTCTACCTTACTCTCTAAGTGTCAAGAAAGATAGAATGGTGTTGAGTCAACTTGTGTCACTAAATAGAAAGCACCCAACCTACAAGGAACACACAGTAAAGAGAAAGTCAAGACAATTTTATTCTGACGTCATGGAAATCAAACTGATGATTTTTGGTTACAAAATTTGACCGTCTATTGACATTTATAAGAATCAAAATAAATCAATAAATAATAAACAGTCAAATTTTATAACACCAAAAATCATTATTTTGATTTTCATGTGACGTCAAAATAATAAAATTATTTTAACTTTTTCTTTACTCTCTTTTGCTCCTTAGATAAAAGTAAATTTATAAGTGACAAATAAGGAGATTAATGATAAGAGAGAAAGAGGGAGAGAGAGAGAGAGAGAGATATCTTTGTGATATATACTATTATACTAGTATAATAACTTCCGTACTCTACTTGAACTAATCATCTCGACGCGTCGAATCCCTGTAGTTAATTAATTAACGCTATTAATCTCGGCGGATCATCAATCTCCCAATCTCGATGACAATGCCGGATTCAATTCGGTCGCAACTCATTAATATCAGTCCTCGATTCCGACACGCGCCCAACCTTCGCCGCGCGTTCTTATTGTCACACTGTTGCTTCGTGCTCTTATCGCGCAATTGAATTCGATTCAACTCGCGCGTTGACTCTGGAGTATCTCTGATGAGTGCCGACGGCAGTTTGAGATACCGAGCCCGGCCCCGGAAAACAATAGCGACTGGTGGCGACGTTCAGCCACGTGTTGGCTCGGGTCAAAAGTTCACGTCCCCGAACCCTCTCGCATAGCGACACGACACTCGGTGCGTCTCGCATTTCGCGTTTTCGAAATACGTATTATAACATATATCAATTTCGGATCCGCGTCAAAACCCACACCCAGGTCGCTGGAGAGCGGAAGAAAAAAAGGAAGAGAGAGAGAGAGAGAGAGAGAGAGAGAGAGAGAGAGAGATCGATACGTATCAGTGGAGAGATGCCACCTCGAAGCCATTTGTATGTAAAAAGCGCGCGCGCGGAAGCACGCGCCGCCCGAATTCGCGAGAGAGAGAAAACGCCCGATCGATTCCGGCGACGGGCGACTTTCCTCGCGCGCTCGCACGCGCGCTCGCGCGGAGGCAAGCCGGGGACTTTTTAGTCCTTCCTCCATCGTTCTCGAATAGGGGTGGAAACGACGCAGCTCTCGAGTGTCTTTCGTAGCTCTCTCTCTTATCGCGACGCCGCGTGGAGGGTCTAAATTAATGAGGGGATGACCAAATGAATATCCTAAGCAACAGATTATGAGACGTGATTAATGAGAAAGCCACTTTTAATGATCATTCTCAAACCGTTCCGACGCCATTTTGATGTCGCCGTAGCTTTATTTTCTTTTTTAATAAAAGTGACGCAAATACGCACCGAGTAAAGAAAAAAGTCAAAATGCTTTTATCTCTCTTGACATTCAATAAGTAGATAACAACGGCAGAACGGCATTTGAATCAATTTGTGTCACCAAATGGAAAGCATCCTTTTTTAAAAGCACACGATATTCCTAGAATGTTGCATGAATAATATTTACCCTTTTTAATATTCATACGACCATTCCAGGAATATCGTGCCATATACGGCTTGTTCCGCTTGAGACGACTCCAGATGAAGTTGACGTTTTCGTGTTTTTGCAGAGGGTCCTCGTCCGGCGTAAAATGGGAACGTAAGGGCGCGACATAGCAGGGCCTTGAATACTCACCCTCAAGCCCGCCAACCCCACAATATACTTACCTTCCCCTCCCCCGCCGCCGTCATATCCGCCCACCGCGGCTTAGTGGGCAACGACCAATGAGCACGCTCGGAACAAGTACAAACTGAGTAAACGGAGGGAAGGTGACTGAGATCGTGGCAGATCGATCTATGTCACATTGCGATCGATAGAGAATGACGGAATAGCGGGCATGCATGGGCACCGCCTAATCGCGACTATCGAATCGATGTAACGCTCGCTACGTTCCGCTGGCGAAGACAATCGTAATTGTTTAGGTAGTTAATTCATTCGGAATTAAGACGTAAATAGATATATAGATATATGTTAAAATATATATATATATATATATATATATACAGTGGGACAGTACAACATATATATTTATATAATGTCAATACTTTATTCTGTACACACAAAAAAACAC